AAATAAACATTTCTTTGAAAAACTAAAGTAGTAAATATTATTGACACTGTACTGAATTTGTTGGTATTTCTAAATATCACAACATGTTCAAACTTAAGTAATTTATCAATAACAACTAATAATTTCAAACTGCTTGTATTTTAAACTTGTATTTTGTTCGGGGTGATTTGTCACTATTTTCACAAACTTCAATTTATTAAACGTCTATTTCTGAGACAGGTTGTTCCAGACCTCTGTTTAAATTCTGAAACACCCTCTGATTCCATGTTTTAACCTTTTCTATGAATACTTGCGCTCTTTATTGCAGTAAAAAATCTCATACTTTTTAGAATCCGCTAAATAGGGAATATAATATGGAATCGCTTACCTAAAGAAGTGTAAATATAACCCCTTTCTCTCCTTTAACTTAAAGAATTGTGTTAAGAAATCCTAAATCACAAACCCATCACTTATAATAATTCATCCAGATACAAATCATTTCAAAATGTTTCCAAAACATCCACTTGTGATACTTTAGCTGCTTAGTTACACGATTCCATATTAATATAACTATCAAGTGATGTTAAATTACTAAAACATTTATCTTTTTACAATAACAGCAAGTGATGTTCTTACTCCGTATACTTAGAAAAGGCTGATTGCCCCTCAGCAGTGACCACGATTCAAAACTGGGCGTTTTTTGGCAACAGCTCAAATGCTGTACGTGAGAGGTTAAGCTTTTTTACAAGGTGCTTCCGGATACTATTATCATATTTCCAATTAACATTCAGTATGATGCGGTATATTGCGCCACGCCTATCGTGTTTTAATGCAGTGTACCTCGCGCATTTTGAATGGCTGGATCTGTACACTTTATATTTTATGTAGAACTGTGATAGCTTGGCTGAGCTGTCACGCAATATTTTCTTTAGACTTTATCCCTGTTTTTTATAAAGGGGTATTTTCATTTCATAACAAATAATGACATCCACAAATCTTATTTTTTTGTAAATATTTATTGAATATTTAAGTATATTTGCTTAAACCACTTGGTTACCTCCTGGCCATTGGACAAGGAGCCTTAGAACTCAATTCAGAAGGAGAAGGCAACCAAAAGGCTACTACAAAGGTTGAGATGGTGTAGAAGAGTAACACATGAAACATAATGCAAAAAGAGGCGTTTGCATGATATACAATACAGTATATAGTAAATGTCCATAATAATTACTATTTAGAACAGCTTGGTGAAAATTGGGATGTCATTTTCCCTCACAAACTTCATTGATGAACTTACGGTTTGACAATACTACAGCGTTAAGTATCACATCATTTTAGTGGAACAATAACATTTATACACAGAAATCACAAAATTATTTTGTCATTCAATTCAACATCTTCTTTCTCTCTGTGTCTGTGTATAAAGATCCATGAATGTGTATTTCTACTCGCTGCTCTTGCTTGAACCTAAATAAAATAATAATAATACACTCTAATGAGTATTCATTTTAGTTAATCTGAGAATTTTTGGATTCTTATCCAAAATGTGCAGGCACAAGCCTCAGCATATCTCTTTATGTTATTTTTGTCAGGTGAAATGCTTCTCCCAAATAAAAGCGTTACTAGCATCAGGAACAAGAGTTACATACTCTTAAGTCGTACTGTCTGATCTGGGGTATCTTTGGTCATTTCTTGCTAACAAACATGTTTTCTTGCCAACCCCACTTCAGGGAACATCTCTGAATAATGGTGGATCTATCCTCCCTGTGACTCGTCAAAGTGACAGGAACTGTGAATTCTTCTCTCAATGAAATGCATTTCCAAATGAGTTAAAAATTAAGAAACAAGGCATAACCCCAAAAATATCACTTAAATTAATGAGTTTTTCATAACAAAACAGATGAAAAAAGGGAATTCTGGTTGTAACATACTGAGTTTTTTTAATATAAAGAAAAAAATATTAAGAATACAAAATTTGAATTGATCTTAAAATAATGAGTGACCCCCCTCTAAGTGCAAAATGAGGATCCACGCCTCACGTTGCTTGTACAATAAATCAGTATAATATAGCATCTTTAATTTTTTTGGTAAAAGACCTCACAAAATACTGGATGTGTTGCCACATTGCCTACTTCATTCCATTGCAAAAGGGTGAGCCCAAATATAAGTTTAAAATACAATCTGATACACCATAATTATTCAAGGAAAAAATGTGCTACGTTTATTTGGTATCAAATGAACGGGCAAAACACGAATAGTTTAGAAATCTAAATATCCAACCTGTATGAAGGACAGAAAAAGAAGGACGTAATAAAAATTCCTTTGGGTGAGATATGCAATCTCAGATTTGAACAGGCAAACAAGAACTCTGTCAGGCAAAACATTTGGAATACCTTTGTCTTATGGGTAATAAAATCAGCAAGCCAGAAAATAGAAGTTGGAGGTCAGGTTCTGAGAAAGTTATCCTGAAGTCAAGACCCAAGGAAGACATCACGTGAGTTTACCCTGACTCCCGTACAGTGCATTGTTTAGGACCGTATGCGGACAGTATAATCCGGAAGTGACTGGAGAAGGACAACAGGGAAAACACAGCTGGAACAGGTCCGGATTACAGACAGGGGTTGTGGTGACGGCAGTGATCCGGTGCTCGGGGGTGCGTGGCGATGGCAAACGAGTCCAAGGAGAGTCCAATTTGGTAAAAAGAGGGTCGCAGTGCAAAATTTACAGAAGGTAAAATTTACAAAAGGTAATAAAACTAAAATACGAAAGGGTCGGAGCACCCTCTAGAGGAGGGATGACGATAGTGACAAAGAAGTGGCAAAAAGCTCAAATGGACCAGGAAAGCAGTGTCTGATACATGGCTCCATCTTCTCCACCCAGCATCCAACATACTTTTACTCCACAGGAGCACCAGATGAGCTCCAAAGCCGGCGTACACCGTGCCTCACACAGAAGAATTCTTTCAGGTGATGCCACTGCTTCTCTTTTCCAGAAACAAAGCACTAGAAACATATCAAGTTTATCTAATTTACACACCTCCTAAGAAATGTTTCGTATTTACTTTGTGCTTTTGTTCAATGCTTGGGTTCAATGCTCGATAGTGTAAATTTTTTACCCAGATAAGTAATTATGGTAACTCTGTGTCTTTTGCCTCAAATTACAATTCAAGTTTTCTAACACTGAAGTTAACCTTTATCTTAGTACCTTTGACTTTTCCAATTTTCTACTTTTCAGCTATTTCCTTATTCTCTCTAGAGGTTTTTTATTTGTATTGCTTTTTTTCTAATAAATTCATTAAAAGATAACAGCTGTGAATTTAATTCACTCAGATCAACTTCATTGCTATCTTGAATTTGAATTGTTAATGATTGTGTTAATCATCACTTTAACCTTATTGTGATTTCAGAGGACACGGTGATTTAAGGGTTGGTGAGGTCTTTATTACTTGATCACAAGACCTCTTTTATACCTTCTCTTGATTTTTCTGTCACACCTGTATAGAAGACCCACTATGCCACTATACTACTGTATATACTATTTTTTTCAGTTTTGGAAAATAAACATATTTTTTGAATAAAAAGTAGTTATTAACAATCTGAAACTGTTTTTATTGCTCTTTAAATGCTGTTTTAAGTCATGCAATGTGTAAGTAAGGCATGGATACTTCATTGTCATATTTAGTTGGTTGCCCTGGTTTTCAGCAGGGTCATATTTTGCCACTGCATAGGGCATGACAGAAATACAGTACCTTAGTACGGAGGTATAAGCATTAGAATACAATATGCCAAGTTCTTAGCAGATAGCTACAAAGTTGTGTACTCAATTTGCTTAATCAAATAGCGACTCTCCCAGCTTTCATGTTTTTTTTTGTCTTGAGATTACTGTGTGTTTTGTGGGCTTCAATCCAGATAATGTACCTTCAAAACCCATCTGTCACTTTGTAAAAACATGTTCCATAAGGTTTTGGTTTGTCAAAACTGTCCACAGTATATGCCACTGATTATTGGGTCCAAAGCTGTAATACATTCTCTGTTGAATTATAACTCACTAGTGTTGATCAACAAAATTTGTACGACAGTTTCTTGAGTCACAATCAGTCCATTTTGTATACTTGAGATGCATCAGTTTGCACTGTATCTGTATAATCTGCAGGTAGTTTGTGTACCTTGAAGAAAAAATAATGCCACATCCACAATTTTTTAATAGTTTACACAAAATAAATGTAAACATTTTGAGGTTCATTTTAACTGTTCTATTAGTTGCTGCCACAGCCTTGAGAATATTCAGGTTATTAAGACCAATTTTGGAATTAACATACAGTATACAGCTTCTTCCATTATGTCATGCACTTAACCATGAGTTCCCATTAAAATAATTGAACAATACACAAAAAATCTTACACAGGAGGTAGAAAGTGCCATTTAGGAGCTAATTAGGAGAAAAAAGTGTTTTTTTTTCCTCATGTTACCA